CAGATTACCATATTTGGTGCTTAACGAACTACTCACGTTACTCATCAGGTGTATTTTACCCTTTTAATTACGCCCCATTCAAATTTAATTCTTAAACATTGAGGACAATGTTTCATTTAAGTTGGGGGGTGGTGGTGCAAATTCAATATTTAAAATGCTTGTTGGAACTCTGTGACATATTTTCATGTGCCAAATATTTTTAATTTTACATCACACGTGCATCCTTTTCACATGTGTACTTATTCTCATTCATAGCCATCTTTGTGAATTCTCTAAACCCACAATAATCAATTTTTCCTGAAGCATTCACAGAACCCCTAATGCACTCATCCAAGTTTTGTGGTAAGATGGTAGTTTGACACATGTAGCTAGAGAACTCTTTTGTTTAAGTATTCATGTGAGTTTTAGAGATGATTGAGAGCATACACATGCAGTAAATTGTGATAATCGTTCATCGATCTGTTGAATTGGGTACTTCTTTTGAGAATATCATTACATGGTTTGTTGTAAGATGGTGGATACACTTGAGATATGACAAAAGTCAACTTAGGATCAACGTTTGAGCCTTTTAAGCTAACCCTTTTCCACCATAGACCCCTAATAGTTAAGTTTGAGCCAATAAACACATGTAGCTTTTTTTTTTTTTCATATGTCTACATTATCCTTACCTCTCCACATTGGAGTATAACTTATACATTGATTTTCCTTACCCTTGTTACTTCCAAGTGTGTACTAGATGTGGAATTCTTTTCGAAAAAAAAGGAGAGAAAGGAAAGGGAAGAACATGAGTTGCAAGGTGTTCAAGTGAGTTCGCATAAAAAAAAAAAAAAACAAGGTTGGGTAGAAATAGCAAAATACCAAGGTGACATAATTGTTCACCAAATTGTTTCAAAAAAAAAAGAGAAAAAAAAAAGAAAAAAAGTATTATTCGATGACTTGAAAGGTTGAAGAGTACATCAAGTGAAAAATGTGGTTTATTGAGAAATTTAACAAGATTCTCCTTATATGTACTTGGACGTTTTTGAGTCCTTTTCATTCTTTTTATATAACTTCAAACCTAAGCCACGTTATAACCTTTTGTGTTGACCATTTTGATCCTAAGTAAGCCTTTGAAAAAGCGTGATAGAAGTCTCATTTGTTAGTATTTCTATCATAAGATCAATGTTTGCTTGTACAAAATTGTCTAATTCCCCATGAGAGTGTTTGCACACCTATTGTCAACTCCATAGAGAGAATCTCCACACGAAACACTTTTATACCCGTGAGTTATGGAGTTGAACTTTTCGCTTGAGATGTTCTTGATATTACATGTGTCAGGATTTCTGATTAGATGGATATAGTTTGGACACACACACACACTCTATAGATTGCTTGTGATGGAGTTATTGAATTTTTAAGATTGTTTTGCTATGTGAACCTGAAAAGTATGATTTGATGGCCTTTGTGTGTGATTTTTTTTGTTTTCTTTCATTGTTTCGGTATGAAAATTGCTAGGGACTAGCAATGAGTAAGTTGGGGTGTGATGAGTGCGCGAAAGTGCATTTTAAATACCATTTTATTGGGTTAAAATGCTACAATGTAAACATAAATAATTAGATATAATTTATATTATTGAATTTAATATCTATTTACGCTGAGATATATTTGAGCATAATTTTATAATATTTTAAATTTAAAATATTATATTATTGGTTGGTGAAAAATAATTTATAAATTAGTATTACAATTAATATTTTTGGACTTTATTATTCGTCTTTTATATTTATTTTTATTTTGATGGTAATCCATGAAATAAAAAGATTGAAATTGATGTAACTGTCAAGTGGGCCCAGTATTAATAAATGAAATGAGTTTTATCTTTCTCAAATTACATAAGATTTAGACTTTAAGGATTGAAGTAAAAAAGTTGAAATCGAGAAAGGATAAAAATGACTTTTTTCAATAAAAGAGTTTGACTTTTAAACATTTCTTGTTTTCTTTGGAGGTGGCGGCTGTGCCTTTTCTTTTCCTTTGGTGTGTGGCGGCCGGAAGGAAAAGAACGAAGGAGGAGGCCGCTGTTCTTTTTCTTTTGGGGGCAGACCCATTTCACCGAGCAGAAAAATTTCGATGCCCACTGTTCTGTTCTATTTATTTTGGAGATATTTGTTTTCTATTATATTTGTAAGTAACTTAATTTTTAAGTAGGGTGAAGAATGAACTTGTACAGTAGATATTATTTTAATTATTTTTAATTTATGTATTTAATTTTTAATTATTACAACTCTTTTGTTTTATCATTCTTAATTTATTGTTGATATTTTCTTTTTCGAATAATCATAAAATTTATTCTGTTTATGAATTTAGTCATGTTTTTTTATTGAATGAATTAGCTCTTTGATTATGTTTGGATCAATTATTTATCTATATTGATTTAATTCTTTGCTGCAATATTACTTCTTGAGTATATTGTCGTCATTAAAGTTTTTCAATAATGATAAAAATTTACGTATTTTAAAAATGGTGAATGATTTTTCAAAGGGTTACATTTGGTTTAATTCTATATCTTCCGATTGAGAATTAAATTCTCAATTGAGTTATTCAATGAATTAAGAATAATTAAAATATCAGATTTGTATAAGAGATTCCTGACGCTTTACTGTTTATCAAATTTGATTACTTTTTCCGTTAGTCACTTTGCTTCATTTTAATTTGTATTTAAAATTAATCTTTATTTTCCAGTAATCATTAAATATTTTTCTTTAATTTCTCTGTTTCTTTTATTATTCTTTTAATTTATCTCTCTGTGGAATCGACACTCCAAAATGTGTGCTACAACTACCGCGTTATTCTTTGGACGTAATCACTCTCCTACCATAAATTAGCCCAAAGATATACAATCCCCAAATGCTATACGTTGCACAAACCCATGCTGCTCCTATGAAATTAACAGGGGAAACAAAGAACCCAGTTGCAAAGACTAATCGGCCTAAAATCTGAGAAGGTCACAAGGTGTTCCTTTTTCGGAATCAAGACCAGTAATGTAACATTAACAAACATAGGAAACACCCCCTTTTCAGAAAAAAAATTCACTGCATCCAGAATATTGGATTTAATGACATTCCAACGAACTTGAAAAACTTGGCAGACCTACTATCTGCTCTAGGAGCACTTTCAATTGGCATTGAAAAAACTACTCCCTTAACCTCTTCCATAGAAACTATTGCCACTAACCTCTCATTTACAACTTCCCCTATCAACCAAGGAATAACATAAAACAAATCCTCTTGAAGAACATCTGATTCTGACTGATATATAAGGATGGATAAAAACTCTCTGCAACCTTAGCAATTTCCTTCTCCTCATGAATCCAAATCCCTCCGTCATTCTAGATCCTCTTGATTTTATTCCTCACTCTCTGACCTTTAGCCACAACATGAAAGAACTTAGTGTTTCTTTCCCCCTTCACTGCCCACTTTACATTTACCTTCTACCTCTAGTAAATTTCCTCCAACCTTAAAGTATTATCCAACCCTTCTTTTGCTTCCTCCAAAGCTAATAAATTTGCGGAAGAAGGATCTAGTTCCACCTTAAGCTCAGCATCCAGCATAGTAGATTCCCGAGACCTAATTTTATCAAAAAGATTCTCAAAGATTTCCTTATTCCAAATCTTCATATGATTTTTAAGATACTTCAATTTGAGAAAAACATTCTCAATAGGATTATCAGAGTACTTCCCCCTCCTCCCCCCCAAGTTGACTCCAAAATAGCATTAAAATCTCCCAAAAGCATCCAAGGAGTATTATAAGGCCAAAGAGACCTCCTCAAACTATGCTCACAACTAGCATAAACCAGAGTCACCCAAAACACCCGAGACCCCATATAAGATACCTCCACAGTCAAAGACTGCTCATGAGAAAATAATTCCCTTACTACTACACAATCATTCCACAAAAGCCAGAAATTCCTTTCAGCCAAAACATTATAACAAAATCTATTCAAACCAATACTCCTAGCCAACCCAGGTAACCTCTAAGCACTCATTTTAGGTATTTATACTACAACTGGACTAACATTATTCACAACAACCAACTTCTCTAACCTTCTCCTTTGAACAGCTTTACCCGTCCCCCTCATATTCCATGAAAGAATATTAATCATATAGAAGACAAATAAACCTTAATTCAGGACAAAGCCTAATCCATGCCTCTTCATCTTATTCTGCTGCTGAACATTGAATCATTCAAGGAGTAGGTAAGACGTGAGTAAAGGTGCATACAAAATGTAGCCGATGCGAAGGCTTTTGAAAGCCAGAGTATTGTGGCAACTTATAAGGGCAGTTTCGCACATGGTGCGATTTTGCATGTGGTGCTCAAAGAAGTAGTGGATCAAAATTAAGAGGAAGCTGAATTTGATGTGGTTCGCACATAAGGGGGAGTTTGTTGGGACATTATATGTGAGAAACCCACATGGAACAGGAAAAAAGTTATAATATTTCTTTAATAGGCTTATTAGTCACCAAATTAAATAGGAAACAAATTGAAAGAATTTTAATATTCCATGAATAGGTATATTATATACGATAGAAAACATAAAGATCCCACAATCATAATATTATCCTCCTTGATTACTAAATTATATTTCGACGCACAATCATTAACCATAAAATTGGGTTGGGCCTTTATATTTGGGCTCATTTCATAGCCAGAGAAAATCCCACAATAAATAACAAAGAAAGTAGTAATCTAGCTATTCAAGCTTTCTTCTTGATACATATATCCATCAGACAACGAAACAGAAAGTTTATTCCATGCTGCTCTCATCTCTTTCATACAATCTTAATCTATATCAGCCCTTTGCACAGCTCAATTAATTTATTTGGTTACGTGCACTATCCAGAACACCCTCTCCTCCCACACTCTTGAATCTTGAAATATACTATATATCTGTACGGTTCATCGTTAGCCCAGTCATAGTTTCCTGTGTCACGTAAAGGGAACTTCCATTATTTTAGTATATGGACACTAAGGTTGGAGCCATATACTATCATCATTCAACAAAATGCCTAATGAAGCCCCACCAATTAACCAGTCGTTGCTCCGCTCAAGAGCCTGGACATCAAACCCTTGAGATGGGCTAGCCTCCCATTCCGGCCTGTAAAAAACACCATCTTCAAAATTATTGCACCAACTATAATCAGGAAAGGCATCGTTCCCACCAGACACCACAGAAAGAGGGGAAATTTGGGCCTGAATTTGGTCTAATCCAGTGCCAGAAATCTGGGTCTGGATGTCCTCCTCAATGGGCTGAAGCTGAAGTCCAGTTTTATGGACCTGCTGGCATTCAGGGATGAGTGTCTCGTAGTTGTTTTGGTCAATGGAAATGGAGGTGGCGGCGGTGCTGGGTTGGGCGGTGGTAGAAGCTTCGGATGAGGCTCGAACTCGGTCCACCAACCTGGGCAGCCATACGTAACGCACAATGTCTCTGAACTGTTTGCTGTTTGCGTCACAGTTTAGCTGCTTGGCTTGCTTCTGAACTCTAGTTCTCCAGTAGTTTTTGATCTCGTTGTCTGTTCGTCCTGGTAACTGTTGAGCAATCTTTGACCACCTTCAGCATCGTTGATTCGTTCCGGAATACACAAAAAACAAAATAGGTTATTTTGTATAGCTAGCTACTCTTAATATAACGACTAAATTGCATAGAGTCATAAACGTGAACAAAGAACAAAAACATATATAGGATATATATATATACCGGTTTCCCCAACGAGAGTGGAGTTCGAGAATGAGAACCTCTTCTTTAAGGGTGATGTTTCCATGTCGAATATCAGGACGTAAGTAGTTCATCCATCTTAATCTGCAACTCTTACCCGTACGATTCAAACCTACTTTACATGAAGGAAGCCATTAATTATAATGTCTCCTTTTACCTATCCGTCTAATGGTAGTTGATAACATTCATGAAACATAATTCATGTTTTGAGAGAGGAGAGGACAGGTTGAACCACTAATTACCTGCGCCGCGAGCAAGGGAACTCCATTGTCCTTCACCGTGGATAGTAATGCAATCCATGAGTTTCAAATCCTCTTCCAGAGTCCATGGACCTTTCCTTATGTCCATCTGTTCTTTGACGACGTCCATGTGTGTGTGTGTGAGAGAGAGAGAGAGAGAGAGAGAGATTGTTAATGGGTTAGGAGAGACATGGGGTAAATAGGCTTTTTTGGATTGAGTAGAGGAAAGATAAGAAGCTTGAATATATAGAGGAAGAAAGAAATGCAAAATAGGAATATTGCACTGACTGACAATAAACAAAGAGAAAATAGTGGTAGTGGCATGTTAGAATAATGTGGTGCATGAATTGTATTAGTGTAATATTTTTTGTAACTCAAAATCTGAATCAATTTATTAATCGAATAATATATATTATATATCCCAATAAAGAAGTCTAGCCATTGTAGGGATTATATTTCAACTGCCACTTCATGAAAGTGAATAAATTATGTTAAATTTTCTTAAGCATTAATACTGTTAGCGTTACCGTTACCATTACCATTACTCATCGTAATATTATATTGTATATTCTTTCTATAATTCTATCACGTCCGTACAACATACTTAAAAAGAGTGATTTTAAGGGAATTACTCTGACTCTGAGTTGCCTCTGGAGTTTGACCGTTTCACATTTTAATTTCATTCCTCTCGGTTTCACATTTCAGCAACGCCGCTGTTGACATTTAATTTTGACAACTAATTTGAAAATTTAAATCCATAATTCAGGAAGTTATTCAACGCATGTATGTACATATGATCGATCTAAGCAATCTTATTCCATGCGTAAACCACATCGTGCCGCAAATATGAACCGCCACTGATACTATCCCTCCCACCCTTCTCTTCTAAAACTGTCGAGAGTAAAAACCATACATATTACTCACCACCCATATTACTCTCTTCTTAAAAATGATCACCACGTCATTACTGTGAGAGAACAATCACAGTCGGTCTATATTTAATTTAGAGTAATGCTAGATAAACTTAAAAATTAGATTTAAAAATTAGACTTGATAATCTTAACCATTGAATAAGTAATGAATCACAGCATTTATTGGAACTCACAGTAAAATCTATGATTAAGATTATCAAGTTCAGTTTTTAAGTCTATTTTTTAAGTCCATGTAGCGTTGTTCTTTAATTTATATTTCATTGTACATCTTATCATGGATAAGCAGTGTTAATCGCCGCAATGCTGCTTCGTTCCATTGCTTTGATACCCCTTCTTATTGAAGAGACTGGGATGGAATTACTAGTATCTATATATATATTGATCACGCCATGCATCTTGGACATCTCTTTTACCAATGGATTTCAACCTCAGAGATGGCTTCAATATCAATATGGCAAACCTCAAGTGATTTCGAACTACATTTCACTAAGACTTGTCCTAAAATTGATAGTGAAGAATCCGATCCTCTTTCGAAATAAGTGATTGTGGAAACAAAGCAGCAGATATATTTTAATATAGCAATGGATATATATATATATATATATATATATATATATATATATATATATATATATATATATATATATAATTCTACTTTTCAAAAGCTTCTGCGCTTTTTGTAATGGATCTAACAACGCACTACCTTACTTTAGATTTCTTTGAGTTTTTAAAATCTCTTACTACTACTCTGATATAGCCTCTCCATGCATATTGAACAGGACATTAATTAATTTCAAATTTTAAGCAACACAGACCTGATACTGATAGGGTCATAGGTTAGAAACTCTTGATGGGCAGTATTTATCTGTGCTTTATCACTATTTGTTTGCTAAGGATTAAGAATTAATCCATCGACGTTGAAGAAATCACACCATAAGAATATATAAACCTTTAAAGAAGTTGGATTATTTACTCCCAAGTCCAACGAGGGGACTGAGAAAAAAGGTCATGCAACGGTAAGAATAATCTCTCTCTTCGAATGTTGACTGTCTCCCACTTCAAGCATTACCTTTTAGTACGGCATCGCATAACCCACTGTTTGTTTTTATTCCTGCATATAATCCTGTAAGCTTGAGGACAAGTACAATTACACACAATGCTATGATCAATATATATTATTCCATAGAAAAGTTGCAGTCAAAAGCAAATCGGTCTGATCAGTAAAATGAACATACTGGCATCACAGGAATGAGGTAAGATGTTAACAAACGGACTATTGGATAAGTGAGAATAAAGGATTTGAATAAACCCACACAACACGGCCACGCTCAGGCTAGTGGCTTACTAAGTTATTTAGTGAAAGTACCCTTTTATATAGTCAAAAGCCATGGCTTTAGGTTCATAGCAATAAAGGATTCCTCTAGATGGAATTATGGAGCTTTTGACCAAAACCATTCGTTTCACCGACTTTATTTTCATGTCCTGCTTATTTTAAACTTATTTCTCAAACTCAGTGTTTTCTTAAAAACATCATTCTAAATGACATCTTCATATATTAAAACGACATTTAGAATAACGCTTTTAAACTGTATAGAAATGTAAGTAAAAGAGTTTTTTAAAATCGTCAATTGAAATGACGATTTTATAGTGATGAAGAGATAAATGGTTTCCTAACAGAGTAAGAGCATAAACCTTTACTGTAACCATAAAATGTCATTTGGAATAACAATTTTAAAGTCGTCATTTGGAATGAAGATTTTCAATTGATAATTTCAAATGACGATTTACGCGAATTATAATCAAATTTACCCTTTCCCAAATTCAGAAAAGCCCTATCTCTCTCCCCCAAATTCAAAATTAGACAGAAACCTCTGTCCATCTCTAGTCCTTCGATGAAGCCACTCCTCCACTCCTCAACAAATAGCATCCCAGCGAAGGATTTTGCAAAAACAAAGACCATCGCAGTGTTCCCCTCCTTCAACGAGTTTTGACCACAACTCTGGCGAGTTCTGTCCACAACTCCCTCTCCTCCGACGAGTTCTGTCCCAGTGTCCCTCTCCTCCGACTAAGGTATTCTGTTTCTCTGTCCCTCTCCATTTCTTCTAAAATACTTTCCTTTTAAAAGTCTATTATACACTCTTGGAATTTCTAAGATCTACAGAAAACCAAGAGAGAGAAAAACCATTTTGTGCTCATTGCTATATCCTGGATAGTTATTTTTGTGGGTGTTTTTATTGGCTAAGTGTTGATGGACTATGGATTCTTATTGCTTATTCAATATTTAGATCTACTGATGGGATCCAACAAAATTCTTCTTAGTGTATTGATTAACTTAATTGCGTTATGTGTGCTATTATTTGCAACTAATTAGCCATTGAAATTTCAAGCATGGAATCTGTCTTCTTTATTGCTTACATCAATAAAGGGTTTCTCATTCTTAAATTGCTTGAAGAATGTGTTGTAAAGGGTACACAAACTGCTCCAATGAATTCCTACCTAAGGCACGAGATGTGTTAAGGTGCCAAGGTCTCCTGGGTCTTAGGTGTGACTGAGTGAGGCACGGGCTTTGTTTGAGCGAGACAAGGATCACCTACACCCATCCCTACTATAATGTCTCGGAATTTTTAGATCTAAATGTTAAGTTTTCAATAAAATGAGTGGCATACTTATATATAAATCTAGTTTGCTTAGTGTTAAACTCAACTCAACAACACCTTGTCCCTACTACTTGGCTTTCTTACTACATGAATGAATCTTATTTTTCTGTTTTGCATTTATGATTAGTCTTATGTTTCATAAACATTTAGAAACTTGATAAGTCCTTTTGGTTTCAATGGACCTTGATTAAGGTTCCTGGGGTTTTGAGGACTCCATAACAAAGGGAAAAAAAGTGTAAGAATTATTGCAAAAGAACTCTAATTTGTTTAGTTAACCTCTTCTTAGTAATTATCGAAGTGTAACTTTTTCATTTCGCATCTTATTGTTCTTTTGGACCCTTCATCGTAAATCCAACTATTTCTCCCTACCAAGGAATGTACCCATCTAAGATGATATGACTGTTTGAACATTGCTCTTCTACTTTTGTTTAATAGATGTCACCTCTTAACTCTTTATATAGATTCATTTCTTTATTTTCTTTCGATGCTCTTGTTGCTACTTACATATTTGAGAATCCTCTTTTTGTTGAGCTCATTATGAACATGTTGTCTCTTGGCTGCTTAATGTTTGGGACAATTACACATGCTCTAGCATCATTGCCCCAACAAAACTTATTTCCCAATGACATCTAATGTTAGTTATTATGTCTCTGTTATAGAATTGTTATGAATGGTTGGAAGATGTGCATCTGTGATGGTGTATTGGGGTGGTAACCTATCCATGAAAGATGATGTTTTAAGGTACAATAATGGTTATAAGCGTGTGATAAAGGTTGTTCCTAACACTAGTCACTCGGCTTTGGTGGATAGGTTGCATGATGTGACGGGAATAAATAGGAATAAAAACAACCCCAAACTCATATGTAGGTTTCCTACTACATTGGAAACTAACCTCTATACATATATTCCATTAGAAGTTGTTGACAACGATGGTGTGGAGGCAATGGTGGATGTCCTATTTGACAATCAAGGTGTTAACAAAGTAGACTTGTATGTGAGCGAAGAGGTTAGGTCCGATGACATTGGTGGAGGTGATGAAGGTTGGCATAATGGTGGTTCATACTTTTCCCAATTCAATCAACAACCACATATCCCAATGCTTGAACCTTCAGCAATGCGAACGATTGGTACACATTGTTTCACAGCGTGTGCTACAATGACAGTGGGTCGCCCATGGTGCAGCGGCGCACGATGGGGCTGATGCAGGGTTAGATAAAGTCGGTATAGATATGAGTCCTGCACATGACATTGCTGATGCGCATGGACTACATGATGGTCCCATTAGTTGTAGGTGCATAATAAAGATACAATGCAGTCTAATACATATTTTACATATTATTATATATTTATAAATTTGTTGAAATGTATAGATGTGATGTAATATTTTCGGAACAGCACAGTTCTACCCATGTACTACGTCACTCTCAGAACCAGCTCGACCAAATGCACGAGGATCAGGTATATCATCTTGACCATATCTTACAAACTCGGATGTTCGTTGTTAAAGTTTGTTAGTGTGTTGTATACAGGTTAAATTTTTT